CACGTAACAGAACCAGACTGTGGTTGCAAAGGGTGCCAAAGCCTGGGTGTGTTTTTTGAAATGTTGCATGTAGAAGTTTGCTATAAGTGGGTTGAGGGGGCTCCCCATGGCCACTCCATCTGTCTGTTCATAGAATTCATTGTCCCACTGAAAGCAGCTGGTCATTAGGCAGTGTTGGAAAAGGGCCGTGATGTCTTCTGGAAAGATCTACTGGATGAGTGTCAGAGTGTCCTTCATCGATACCTTGGTGAATAGGAATACTACATCAAAGCTGATCAGTCTGTCCCCAGGGTTGAGTTTTAGGGTGCTGATCTTATTTATAAAATGTCCTGAGTCGTTGATGTAGGATGAGGTTTGTCCAAAGTGGGTCTGTAGGAGGATGTCTAGGTATTTTGCTAATTCATATGTCGGGGAGCCAATGGCATTTACAATGGGCCTGATTCTTCAGTCTTTGGAAACTCACAGAGGAGGTGAGACACAGTTTCATCTTTTTCTTGGCAGAGTCGACATTTTCTATTAGCACTAACTCCTTGGACCTTAGTTTTCATCATATTGGCTTGGAGTGCTTGTTCTTCTGCAGCAGAAATCAAGCCTTCAGTTTCTTTCTTAAAGGTCCCCAGTTTTAGCCATGTCCATGTTGTTGAATTATGATCATGCTTTCCATCAATATTTCTCAGGTGTTGTCCATTTAGTAGTTCATTTTTCCAGCTGTTTAATTCCTTTTTCAAATTGTTTTTTATTGAGCCTTTGTTTCTGTTGTTTTCAAAATATTCTCTATTTTCACTGCTTTCAGTAATTTTTCTCTGCTTGTGCTGATATAATCATTTAGGCTTCTTTTTAATTCCTCTACAGTGGTGCCTCGCTTAACGAGTGCACCGTGTAACGACGAATCCGCATAGCGACCCGTTTTTTGGGGTCGCTAATGTGATTGCATTGCGATGTTTAGATAGGCTAAACATTGTATCTAGTCGCGAAGGACTACTCTAGGCGGCTTACAACAGAATTAAAATACAATAAAAATAAAACAACAAATTACAAATCAGGTAAAAGTAAAAAGACAATAAAAAATAAGAAAATCAAAAATAATGCATTCCTATGGGTTTTCCCCGCCCGGATAGTGAAGAATCCGGATAGCGACGTTAATCCTGGAACGGATTAACGTCGCTATGCGGGGCACCACTGTACTTGTATTTGCAGTAATCTATGGTCTCTGATTTTTCAAGGTAAATATAATCTGTCCACATCGCTTTTTGGATGTAGTGTTTGATGTATGTTCATTTGTTTCTGTGTTTTTCAATCCAATTCTTCTAGTTCATTTTGAGTCCAATCTATTATTCCAGCTGGGTATCTAATTCCTGGAACTGCTATGTGTTTATGACTTTGATTGTATTTCCCCCATTTAATTTTGATTTTAAGATTTTCCACAGTCTTTTGATATACTCTCTTTTTGTCAGTTCTTTAACTTTTGTGTGCACAATGTTGTCTGCTTCAAGTATTCTAAGGTATTTATAATTTTCATCACTTGAGAGTGATTTTATAATACTGCCATTTTTTAAACTCTATTCCATCTGGTTTTTGGATCTTGCCACGGTGTGTAGACAGAGACGCACATTTGTCAATTCCAAATTTCATATGGATATCTTCACTAAATATTTGCACTGTGTTTAGCAGTGATTCTATCTCTGTGGTACTTTTTGCATATAGTCATCCATGTATAAGATGACTGATTTTTCCAGCTTGTGGTGAAATGTGGTTGGCCAATCCAGTTTTATTTCAAACTATTGACATGGGAATTAATGAGATGTTAAACAGCAATGGTGACAAAAAGTCCCCCTGAAATATTCTTCTTTTGATGCTAACTTCCACAGTTCCTTCACCATGAGCCATTAAGTCAATTTTCCATTTTCCATGGTTTGTTTTTTTAAGGAACTTCTGAATGTTTTTATTAATCCCAAACATTTTTAGGCAAATTTTAATCCAACTGTGTGGCAATGAGTAAAATGCCTTTTTATAGTCTATCCAGCCCATGTTAAGGTTTGTTTTTCGTCTTTTTGCCTTCTTCAGGATCATTTTATTAACAAGCAGCTGATCTTTTGTGCCTATTGACTTTTTAAAGTTCCCTTTTCGTTCTGTTGGATATAGGGAGTTTTCACTTAAGTATTTATATGTAGATCTTGCAAGTATTCCTGTGAGGAGCTTGAACATTGTTGGAAGGCATGTAACTGGTCAATAATTAATGGCTTCGCTGCCCTTTTGATTATCTTTTATTATCAGAAATGTGCAACCTGTTGTCATCCAGTCTTCAGTTGTAGAATTTTGAAGTAAGTGGTTAAATTGCACTGCTATACATTGTAATGAGGGTGAAAGAGGAGAGTGCAAAAAACGGTCTGAAGCTCAACATCAAAAAAACTAAGATCATGGCCACTGGTCCCATCACCTCCTGGGAAATAGAAGGGGAAGATATGGAGGCAGTGTCAAATTTTATCTTCCTGGGCTCCATGATCACTGCAGATGGAGACAGCAGCCCTGAAATTAAAAGACGCCTTCTTCTTGGGAGGAAAGCGATGACAAATCTTGACAGCATCTTGAAAAGCAGAGACATCACCTTGCCAACAAAAGTCCGAATAGTCAAAGCTATGGTTTTTCCTGTCGTGATGTATGGAAGTGAGAGCTGGACCATAAAGAAAGCAGACCGCCGAAGAATTGATGCCTTTGAATTGTGGTGCTGGAGGAGGCTCTTGAGAGTCCCCTGGACTGCAAGGAGAACAAACCTATCCATTTTGAAGGAAATCAACCCTGAGTGCTTACTGGAAGGACAGATCCTGAAGCTGAGGCTCCAATACTTTGGCCATCTCATGAGAAGAGAAGAGTCCCTGGAAAAGCCCTTGATGTTGGGAAAGTGTGAAGGCAGGAGGAGAAGGGGATGACAGAGGATGAGATGGTTGGACAGTGTCATCGAAGCGACCAACATGAATTTAACCCAACTCCAGGAGGCAGTGAAAGACAGGAGGGCCTGGTGTGCTCTGGTCCATGGGGTCACGAAGAGTCAGACACGACTAAACAACAACAACAAATACACTGAAGGCAGACTTGCTTTAACCAAAATCTGTGCAGCTCATCTGGGCCTGGTGCACTTCAATTTTTCATATCCTTTACTTGCCTCTTAATCATTTCAGTTGTTATTTCAATATCATCCATTTATTTTCCTTGAATTTCTTTACAAATGTCTTTAATCCATTTTTGTTATGTTGGGCTTTCCCACATTTCTTTCCAAAATTTTAGAGGATCATCTTTACATGGGCCTAATTTTCTTTTGCTCTGCATTTTCTCCTAGTGAAGTGTAGAATAAGCACTGGTTATTTCAAAATTGCATGTTTGCTGTATACTGTTTCAAGCATCCCTCATATCTTTCAATTTTCTTTGCTGTAGTGGTTAACCTGCTGTTTTAATTCTTCCATTGTTTCAACAACTGTTTTTCTTTCTAGGTCATATATTTTGCATAGTCTGGCTTTTACTTTTGCATTTTTCAATTCTGAATCTTTCAAGTGTTTTAAGTTGCTGATATGTGCATGCAATTTCTTTATTTTTCCTTCCAGTTTCTGATTCCATTTTGGGGTGCCATGAGTTTTCTGTTTTCTGTTTGTTTGTTTGTTTTGTTTGTTTGTTTTTTGCAGCTTTTAACCAAGTTTCATGGTTACTATGGTAGTTGTGCTAAACATGAGCTGGCTTTTTTCCTTTGGCGTGTTGGTCAGGATTGTTCTGATGACTACATTTGCATCATTCAGTAGATCTTTTACTACTTTACTTTGTAATTGGCGTAAATTGGAGATCCTTTGTCTTTCTATCTTCTGGCTAATATGGTTTCTATTTTTTCCCTCAGTGATGTTTGCTGTTCTGTCAACTCATAATTTCTGGATTGTTCCATAAGCTGTTCCTCTATTGATATGTTTTCTTTCACTATTGTGTCTACCTCTACCCTCTATTTGTCTTCCATATTATGGTCATTGCCCTGTGTTGATTTTGCCACCTTTTCTAGTTCTTGCAATTCCAGTTCTGAAAACACTTTCATCCAGATGATAAACCTTCTATGGTCCATTAATCATTGTTCAGTTATGTCACTACTTAGGTGTTTCCTTTTCCAAATTTCCATAATTCTTTTTTTAAAACCACAGGCTGTTGGGTTTGCCTCGTAATAACATTTCATAATTTCTCAATTTTCAACAAGAGTCCAAGTTTTGTGTTTACGTTTTTCCAGTAGTTTTGCAGCAGCCTGTTCTGGTCCCTCAGCAGGGTCTGCTGAGTCCTGTAGCCCATTTGTCACCAGATGCCTTGGGGCTATAGCATCTGACGTGACCCTTGTAGACCTGGGCGATGACTGATCCATTATGGATTTCTGTTTATTTCCTCTCATCATAATTGATGGTTGGTGGACACAGTAGGTCTGGCTTCTCAGTTGAGATCTGTCTGGCTTGAGAGACCTTCCACATAGTTCTCAATTTCATTGAAGCACACAAAACCCTCCGCCTGAACAAGTCCTGTGCCCATGGAGGGGTTGTTGTTGTTATATCTTTGCAAGGATACCTATCTGTGAAAATGTGAAGACTTGACTTCTGCTGAATTATATTATATTATATCACAGTACATTATATCTCTACAGTGACCTACTTCTAATGAAGTGGCTGGATATGTCAGTGGCTTAGGTATCTGGCTGTGGACCCAGAGGCTGGGAATTCAATTCTCCACTGTGCCTTCTGGAAAAAGAGTCAGTCTGTGTAATCATGGGCAAACTACACAGTCCCAGGTTGCCCCCAGAAGAAAAGATGGTAAACCACTTCTGAGTACTCATTACCTAGAAAGCCTTGGAAAGGATTAAAAGAATTAAAAGAACTGACTTGATGACACACAATTATGAATAATTACCTTTAATGAAGCAGCTCAGAAAGGAACTATGGCCAGCAGAGATGTAGCTGAATCACCTTTCTCTGCTGGTAGGAGCAAAATAGGATTGGCAAATACATTCACTTTCAAGTGACATAAGGAAAGTTGGGGTGAGTAAAGGGGCAATCTGACATAACTCAAAAATTCATGGAGTAAAAACTCTGTTACTGTAGTAAGCACACCATATAGGAAGGAGAGGGGCAAAATCCAAATTCCTTGGGTTGGTTCTGCCTTCTACTGGTTCTAGCTTCACCTATTGTTTTGTTTGTCTGTGACCAAGATAGCTTAAAATGTCCCCTCTCACTTTCCCTGCCAATAATTGTGACAATCTTGACAATGTCCTTGAGTTGCTCAAAACTGAAAGATATAACTAAGAAACTGATTTGATGGAGACCAAATTCCCATGAAAACAGAAGCCACTGAAACTACAGTGTCTATGCCAGAAAGGATATAAGCAATTTTATCTACAAAATGCTTTGCAAATTTATCATAGCAGGCCATCAAGGATTCTAAATCATTTCTCCCTTGGACAGACTATGAAGGGCACTGAACAATTTGGAAAAGCTCCATTGGATGACAATGAGTAGATGTAATAATAGTAAAGAAGATGTAGTAAGCATTAAATAACAGAAAATATCTACTAAATGAATTATTATTTTTCACAGAATAAAATGCAACAATCATAATTCTGTGGGCCATATATTAAGCTTCTCACTTGTGTAGGTTCCTAATACTTCCAGCCTTTAACAAAAGTACATAAAATTCTTTACTCAACCACTTTTGAATCTTGTGTTCCAAAAGTGAGCTTGGCAGACTACTGCTTCATGAGAGAAAAACTGAAGATCTCTTGAAAATGTACACATTTTTGGTATGCCTAAAAGGATTATAGTCACGATCTATATCAAAACTGATTTTTTGAGGATTCCTGTGCAAGACAATTGTATGCTAAGAACAGAGTAACATGTTCTATTGCTGTTCTAAAAACTGTCACACAGTACATTTTTAACAGCAGATATAATTGGAAATATGTATGCCCCGTTTATTATTACTAGACAATGTTACCAGTTTCTATTTGCTTTGCTTTGTGTTGTGTATTGTTTACAGCGTATTATGTTAAAAAAATTAATTTCTTCTCTGGAAGATGTTGTGTAGTTTATTGACACAAAGGACAGAAGGAAAATGCTTGCCTATGAAAGAGATAATTTGAATATTTATATTGTACTTTATTGTTGCCTGACCTAATCATTATTTTACTTTTTCTGAGAGAACTAATTTCACAGCTATTTCTTTCAGTTGAAGAATGTTAGGAAACATTTTGAAATTTGATTATTTCTGGCCTCATTTTCTGCCTTATGAAAAGACTTTTTGCTCCATCAGTGCAATCATAATACATTAGTGCATACTTTTGATGAGAACCTGCTTGGGCATTTAAAATCATAATCAAAAGCTTATTCTAAAAGTTTACTAAGAACCTCACCTTCTCTGGTTTTCACTGGCATGCTAGGAATGTTGACATCTGTGGACAGCTCATTGTTCAAGCTGATACAAAGAAAAGGTTCATCAAGAAAGGAAGGCTTTTTTGGTCTGTCTGGGCTGAGGGCTAGTGACATGAAGTAGCCTTCAGAGGTGCTGCTATGTGCTGTCTTCTCTTCAACTTGGTTATTATTTTCATTTTTCTCTGCCAGGTGAGATTCAATGAATGGCTTGCTGAGATTACAACTACAGGCTTCCATCATATCTGCTGAGTTCATATCGTTATCTTCAGAGGCAACCATTTCTTGGCTTGCTTGCATTCTCCCACTTTGAACGTCATCCCATAATTCATTCCTTGAGTTTGGAATGGTATTTTGAACCATGTCAGAACAGGGACTTGCTCCCTCAAAAAACGATCCCTGGGATTTTGTCAAGGCAAGATTGTTTACTCTTCTTAGGGTTTGCGCACATTCTTCCAGAAGGGCACTAAGCTGCTCTTCTGAGAGACGAGGCAGTACATCAGGCTGGAAAAACAAGGAAAAAGTTCTCCCTGTCAAAATGCCACTATAAATAACAACATCATCAAACAGTTTGAACAACGCAGAGAAAGAATAGAAGCACTGATCTCTGATGCCCAAGGGCATAACCCAGTCTCCAGAACAAAGGGAAACTGTCAGACAATGAACCAAGAAAATGTTCATATGATCTATAACTAGGAATACATCTGCCATTTATTTATTTCTTTAAAAATGCAAGTATGAACTTGCTACAACATTCATCTAAAGAGTTTATGGGAGACATTTCACAAGAGTGGACATCAATGTTTAGTTAATATTGTGGGGATACAGCTGACTTTATTGTGATCATGCAAAAACTGCCTCATAACGTAATTAATATATATATAAATAAAATTTCTTTGATTTCACTTCAATACTGATAATGTTCCACTAAGTGACAATTTATGTACTCTGCAGAAGTTCAGAAAAAACAATGCAAATACAAACTGTATCTACAGTATATCTATATTTGTATTATTATTACATGAAGAAATTTGAGAGTGGTTTTGCCATTTACTTGAGAACCACCTCATCTATTTCAAATTACTATGGCTTTATAAAGAAAAGAGCAACTATGATTGCAGAAATAACTCTGACTGCCCACTCCTAGTACATGGCTGTTTTGTATTAACATTCTTTTATACAGTTCTGAAACACTGCATGTTTGTGCGAACTAGGAAATATCCTATATTAATTACAGACACTACAAGGACACTTCATGCAGAGATATCTGTGTAAAGGAGAGACAATTATAATTGTTTAGGAGAAGAATGCTACTTTATCAGATAAACAAGGAGCTGGAAACTTTACAGTCCCAGGGCGCCCCCAGAAGGGAACAGTAAAATACTTCTGAGTACTCTCTACCTAGAAAACATTGAAAAGGGTTGCCATAAGTCAGAACTGACCAGATGGCACACAACAACAACAACAACAATTTAAATTCATCAAATCCTCCTTGACGGTTTTCCTTTCTTCTTATATTTCTTGCTGGCAGTCCATGTCAAGGAGTCAATCAGCTGAAGCCTAATTGACAGAGGCTGACATTTGAATAGATACGTAATTAGAAGATGGAATAAATTTTGTGGCACATCTCTTTTTCATCATCATTCTCATAAATTCAGCTACATTTGAACCTGTTTTTCTATCTTTCTCTTTATATTTATATATTCATCCTGTTTTGAGTGCCTATGGTTTTTAAACCAGTTTGTTAGCTATATATATATCCAAAGTAGCTAACAAACTGGTTTAAAAACCATAGGCACTCAAAACAGGATGAATAAAATAGATGAACATATTCGAAGACAACATATTCGAAGACAAAATTTATAAATCAACTAAAAGATGTAGAACAGTACCTATAAATACCAGAGGACAGATTAAATAGATGGACCTTTTGTACCTTCTAACCATCAAAAGAAAGAGAATCTGCCAGACCTTCCCTCATAGAACATTTCATAATTTTGCTACAACTCAAAAAAAGCCCTGCTTTCTTCTTTCTACCTGCCTTATCTCTTATAGCACTTTTATCTTTATTATGGAGGAGCACTGTTAAGAATATCCAAGTGGTATATGAAACAAATAAGCCCTTCCTTGGCTATATCTTCTTAATATAGCTAAAAAGTAGCATTCTAAGCAAAGGCAGCTTAGAATTAAAACTACTGTACAGGCTAATTAGAAGACAGACTCACATCAAAGTAATGGGGTGAGGTGAATTTCCTCTTGGCATTCAATTCCTTAAGTCACAGAACCATTATCAAGAAAAAGGTGGTAATTCTAATTAGGTGAGCAGTTCTTATCTATTGACTTCTGCAATAGCCTAGTTAGACTAGAGTGTGATGATGACCATAGAAACAATGACAAGATGGCATACCTCAGGAAAATGTATAAGGAACAATTTAGTTCTGTGAATCCATCTTTCCTTAAGAAAAATGACTTAGGATTCATATGTAAATCTCATAACTATTCCCCACTCCCATCTTGTCCAGCCACAATTGCCTATTCAGTAGATTTAGTCACAAAAGAACTCTTAAAATCCTCCCTAAGGGGTTTCCTTTCTTCTCATATTTCTTGTTGGCAGTCCTTATACAAACAGTCATTGTCAAGGAGTCAATCAGGTGAAGACATCAGCAGGGAGGCTGACATTTCAATAAATAATTAGAAGATTGAGTAATATTTGTGGTACATCTCTTTTTCATTTTAAATACTTCCCTGTGGAAAGGTACTGGAGATATTCGGTTATTCGTAAATGCATTGGGACACTTGGCAAAAATGTAACACCTTAAACTCCAACCCTATTCCCTAATTTCCCTTACCAGCAATAAAATGCAGTATCTTAATTACAGATTATGGATATGACCATTTGTTAAAGTAATAAAGAAAAGGACACAATGCAGTCAAAGCCAGACATTTTTATTTCAGTGGGAAATATTTAAGAACATACAGTGGTTAATGTATTAATTAAAATAAATTGCATCTGATTTCACACATTGGCTTTCTATTCTCACTCAGACAATCTGCTATGACCAGCAACATTCTGCTTTTATCGACATCAGATGAGAAAAAAGGATGGTAAATACAGAGACTAGTGGAAATTGTGGCAGAAATTGTTACCAGTAGCACCATTGTATTGATTTGTGACAAGATACTTTTACTACTCGAGAAAAATAACTATGTTTCATAGTCTATGAACATCTACAAACAGAAATTCTGCAGATAAAGGCTTCCTCATTACTGAATTTCCATGCTTAGTGAAAACTATATTTGGAAACCTATGCTTGGCCAGAACTCACCTCAGCAAAAATATAAAAATTAAGATTCAAAAGTAGAAGATATGTCATTATTCATTCCTATTCCCTAATTTGTTTCACTTTTCCTGTATTACCATTTACTAAAACAATGAAGCCATTTGGATAACACAAACTGTGGTTCTACTACAGTTTTTATCATGATTTATAAGCTCTTTGGTAATTCCTAATAATAAAACTACTGTAGGCTAAAGTAAGTCGCCAGGCAATGAATGGCCATGGCAGTTACGAGCACAACAATGATGGAACAGTTGTGGTCTATACTGATGGAGGTTGCACCAACAATATAAAATATTCAAGATATGTAGAATGGATGTAGGATTGAAAAATTCTTTGATGCAGGATACCATTAAAGACTTGGTTACTTGTATATTACTAATATGTACTTGAACCTGCTCATAAATATTTTATTTACTTCATTATCATTATGACCCACCCTTATGGATCTCTCCAGCTACAGTCTCACATTCTGACCACTACATAAAATTGGTTCTATGGTGGTAGTTTTAGAAAGACATTTTTAGTTAGACATACATATCCATCAGAAGGTTTATCTCATGTAAAAGATCAAATTTGGGGGGGGGGATTTGTGCAGTTTGGGTTTTATTATAATAGATAATGTGCTCATTATTCCAACTAATTTTTAGGAAAACACTGTCTTTGCCACATTGTGAAAGTGAAAAAAACCATCATTCATAGCCAGCTGTGCTGGATCCTTGCTAGCAATTTTTCCTGCAGGGTTCTTTTCATGGAGGCTGAAGGCTGGTTATTAGCATAGTATTTTCTTGACCCCAGGTGCCATTTTCTATCTCAAAGTCTTTGAAGCTTTGCTGAATTCCTTAGTGGCATGAGTCTATAGGATAAATCCTGTTGCATGTGATGAGAATGTGCACATTTAATTACTTTGTGCATACAACCTGTTGGGCTTCAAAATTTGGAGCCACAAGAAATCTGTTTTCAGCATCCATGCTGAAAGAGACCAAGTATCAGCAAAAGTAATAGTGTTGCTTACTAATGGTCTACCTAGACATTAGTAAGGCAAAGTTGGACATGTTTTAAATACAGATATAGTAAAAGACCAATCTTCAACATGTTATGCCATCAAAGAGCCATCACCATCAGCAGGTTTTAAATGCCAAAGCTATATTAATTGGCAATACAGTATATGAGACATATATGTATCCTTTATGAAAGAAAAATGGCCACAGGCACATTTATTGTTAAGTGGCAAAAATCTGACTTGCAAACTCACTCTAATTGAATTCTTCTTTATACCTGATTCTTCACATCCTTAAGCTAGTAACATGCATTGAATATGCAGCATCACCTGCAAATGTGGCTTTCAATCTCTTCTGCAGTAAACCACTGCTTTATTGCTAAAATACATCCACTCTCATCCTGCTACAATCTCTTGAAACAACAGTCTGGCTTCCTACATATCAGAACTGGCAGCAACTGGGTATTTCATATCATTATTGACTGAAGAATGCAAGTATGTATTGTACTTGCAATACTGGCAAAACAATCCTGGATTAACACCTTTATATTAACATTACCCTAACATCTTTAGTAAATCTTTCAGATATTGGCCTAGATCCATATAACTCATATGGAGAGCTTCTGATTATGGATTGGGAAATAAGGCATAGGAGGTTTAGGTCCCTATGAGAAAGCCCTTTCTCCTGTTAAAATAAAACCCCAATCGTAAAAACTGGGCCAGACACTGGTTTCAAGAGGCAAATCTGCCACTGTTACATATAGCATGAGCCTTAAAATGTAGAAAAACAATTAGGTATGTTTGCTGTTTGACATTCTGATTCAGCATACAAATAAATATATAATTTCTGTATTTAATTATTTAGCATTCTATGTCAACAGATTTTACAACAGTAAAATATAAATCTCATTTTACTGCAAACTGCATAGCTATGCCTTTGGCTTCCAGAGAAATCAACACAGTAAGCCAAGAATGCTTAGATGTGGTTTTGGCTGTTTTCAATTACAAAAAGCCAATGTACTTATCTAGTTTGCACATGTTTGCTTTTATTTTCCACACAGTTAGATATGAAGTGGCGTCAGTGCACACTATCTCAATGTTAACATTCTGGCACAAACAACTGGAATGTTAGAAAAATCTAGGGATAAAATTTTTCCTTTTGTAGT